GAATCAGTCAATAAATAAAATAAATTTTTTGTTTTCTTTGAAATATTATAAAATCAATAATATAATTAATTTATTCTTTATTTTTATGGTATTATATATACTTCATGTAGTATATTTAATATGCATATATAAAATTGCGATTATTAAGCATTTAAACAATTTTACAAGCATCTAAATAACTTTACATTACTGTATAACTTCTCTATTTTATGTTTGAGTTTAATGTGAGTTTAACTTGAAATATTTCGTTGAATGTACACTTCGAGTAAAATAAAGTCATAGAAATTAAACTCTACCGTACTCAAACCGATAAAATTACGACCGCAAGAGTTAAATTCCTTATGTGTTCGATTTAATGAAATAGATGTGCGTCGTTTATTACTCATGTTAAAAAGGTTAACGCGTGTGCACTGACAAACACGACGTCGGCACGCGTGTCACCTCGTCTTGTCAAACATCAATTACGTGTGCAAACAAGCTATCCGAGGGATGGTGCTCGACCGGTAAACATTAAATACATGCATTACCCTGAGACATGCTGACACAATGACCGGCACTTCCGCTGCCCCTCAACTCTGTTGGTGCTAGTGCAGATTAGGTGACAAGTTAAAGGAAATAAACGCAGAAAATATTTGTATTCGACATTCAATTATTACTATGAGATCGCATCTCAATGCAGATATTTTCTGAAATAACACGCGGAAATTAATCTTCGGTTAATTGTTCTGATTTTTTACACTACATGAAAACAAAATTAAACTCTAATAATTTTTTTATTAATATAAAAAAAATGTAATAATTTTTATATATCATAAATCACATAAATGGTCAAGTGTTAACGTTAACAACTACATCCTTCTCTTTGTCTCTTCTATTGAAATAATTAATATAGATAGATGAATTTGGAGAAGTGTTCGCGACCAACAATCAACATTCGCCAATACTTTTCCAAATCTACTCGTCCAATCCAATAATTATTAAAAAATTATTGTATACAATAATATTAATAATCAATTACTTTAGTTATGTCTATCTCAACATTTCATTTTTCAAGAATTGTTCCTTGCTAAATTTATAATTACCGTTTATAATTACAGTAAATTTCATAACCAAGTTTCGCCCGTTTCCAACTCGACATTCCATTACTGGAGAATTACCGTGCAGCTAAAATACGACGTCGGAGTACCATGAGTTCAACGAAGTCAACGGTTTTAATTCTAGCGAGGCTTTTGTGCCGCGCGAAATTCGTGCTTCGCGCTCGCATCGAAATTCCGTCGCGCGCGAGAGCGAGGGCCGAAATTTCGCGGAGAATCCAACTCCTTTGTCGGCACGTCTGTATCTAGCGAGAATTATAGCCGAGTTAGGTATAGGTACGCGGCACGAAATGGCTCGACTTAAAATCTAAGTAACCGTGCATCCCCCGGAGCGGGCCACAGATAGGGGAAGATAGAGCAAACCCGGTGGACGTAGAGGGTTGCCCGGGATGGCGAAACGTAGGGAGTGAATCGCGGGGTAGCAGTGGGTGAGTGAGAAGGGAGCATGCGGGAAGAGGGGGAGGAAAGGGAGGGATGCTGGGATGCCGAGGGGAGCATCCGGGATCTCGGAGGGTACGTGGGGCGGTCGGTCGTCATGGATACGCTCCCGGCTAACCCTGTAACCGCTCCTCCCTCGTCATTCTACATTTTCGCAACTACCCGCCGCCATCATCGACCCACCATCTTGTCTCGAACCCTACGAGTCCCGTCAAAATTTTGAGACGATCTTTCGAGACACAGACGCGACTAAAGATTTCTCTTAAACTGAATGACCGTGCTGAATGACAGGTTAATGTACGATTGAATTGAATCCCGTGGATAAATTGTCGCGATATGGTAAAAATGATTAAAAAATTTGAAGAGTTGTAAAGAATAAAATCCAATGTTGAATTACGATGCATAGAATATTACTTGTCTTTGAAGTATTTGTAAGATATTATAAATATAATATGTAATATACGTTATATATGCTATATTCATCTTAATTTTATCTTTAATCTTAAATTTAAAGTTTTAAAAATTGTACTTTATCTATTGTCGCATAATAATATAATAAGAGCAGTTAGTGTAATTGCATTAAAAAAAAATGTTAAAAACTATATAACAAAAATCTGATTATTCGGGATTAATTTAAAAAATAACGGTGATACAAAATCAATTTTACTTTTCTATTTTGAAACGTGATGCGATGTAAAGAAAAGATAACATAAGCTAATAAATTAATTAAGTTGCGTTCCATTTGTTGCTCACACCACTCTTAAAATTATTTCATCCTTGCTGTCAAATATTAAACAAGGACAAATGATGCTCATAAGCACAGTAAGCGCCAAATGGAATGTACTCTTAGTGTTAGTGAAACTGACATATAATAACAGTCTCATCAATTGTGGACTAGTATTACATGTTTAAATATCACAACTATTATATTACGATCACAACCAAATTATCGACTGAAAGAATACCACGAGTATCATTTTGCAAATTAATGGACTTCGCTTCGTGACTATGTGGACCACGTATTGTGTGTGACGTTATTGAATAATATAACGTTATCTCAGCCGGTTATTTCAGTGACCTTGCTGTCGCGGCGCGAGATGAATTAACCAGCGGCGACGAAAAACGTGTTACGGAGCGCGAGCGAAAAACTGTGCGGCGCGGTCCGGCATCCCCGATCGGGATCCAGGAGGAGGGAAGATCGATCGATCGCCATAGGTAAATGCGGGCGACCACGTCGCACCGTTAAACGCAGCCACCGGACGAGACGAAAGTTTCGGGCGAGTCGCCGATAAATTTCGGGAACGGCGAGCAGGATATTGCTGCGGCCGTGGAAAGCAGTCGTCGACGTGCGCTTTGCTCGGCTGGCAGCGATGCAACACCATCGCATCGTGCAACACGACCCCCGCCGTATTCGAACATCACCTCCCCGATCCTCTCCTCCGTTTCCTCATCCACCTCGTTCTCCTCCGTCTCCTCCTCCACCTCCTGCTTCTCCTCTTCCTCCGTCGTTCTCTCCCCTTCCGTTTCACCGTCTCCTCACGGCCCTCGCGGGCGTGGGCGGTAGATAACGTGATTTACACTGGCCGGGTAATTAATGTCCTCGGCGACCGGCGCTTTAAAAAAGCAATCGGAAATCGGCGACAACGAAGAGCAACAGTCAGCCCGCCGCCCGCCGGCTGCTACTACTGCCGGATGACAAATTATCGCGCGCGAGATCGTTACCCCGGTTTTTTTTTTCGCGTTTCTCTTGGCACGAGAGGGTATCGCACTGTGACGCTCGTCTTTACCGGTTCTTAATGATTTCGGAAAGAGATATCGCACCGTTATCAAAGGCGAGACGCCACGTTGCGTTTTCACTACGTTTTCGATATAAATTCGATCCTGCTTGAGAAAATAGTGACGAGTCAATTAACTCGGTGACTTTATATTACAAATTAGATTTTGCTATTTGTGCAAAGATTCAATCGACAAAACAATGGCCTTTATTGTTTCTATAGCACAAGCAAAAATTATCGCAGCAATTTCTCGACATATAATAAATATGTAGCAGATATTACACATGGAAACAATGGCTTTGCCGAAATATTAAAAAAATTTAGCTAGATACAAAATAATTTTCAAAATAATTATGTAGACCGCTTAAATTGTTGTTAGAATGTTAAAACTTTTCACAGCATTGTCGCCAACGTTTATAAGCATCGTACGTAATTATTTTGGTATCTTTAAATCTACTATCTAGCTAAATTTTTACGTAACTCAACAAAAGTGTTCTTTTTGTGCAGTTTTATGATAGGCGAATAATAATATTCTTTTTTCTTATCGAGAAGTATAACAGAAAAGTTTGTGAGAATATTTAATATAAATAGTTATCGTTACTTTGTAAATAATCTTTCTATAGTTTCTTTTTTTCACAAAAAATAAAGCTAAAAATTATGTTAAAAAATAATTACGTATGAAAATTAGATATACAGACATTTATCGGCACGACATGAATACGCGGGTTGCTGATTCTCAGAACGTGTTCGCGATTTAACGAAATCTTAGCGTCGTGTATTGCTTATCAATGTGGGAAAATAGCAAGGGCTTTTACTCTCATTAACCGCATTACGTCATCACGACGTATATTAGAACCGATCGATGGTATCTCCGCACTTATGCATGCCGGGATAAACTTGCGCGTAATCAGGTTGCATGTCTTTCCGCACGTACCGTGCGTGACTTTACGCTCGGTGTTACGGCAACTATTTCGCATCGCCACGCAAAAGTTGCACTTTCGTGCATAGCTCGCACCTGCCTACTTTCCGTTTGGCGATGAAAATAATCTCATTCCTGTATTAATATTTTTACTAGTTGAAAAATTTTTATATAAGAGGAACTGAGCATTCCCTTTTTTTTTACATAGCTACGGGAATATAAAACTTTTGATTTTCATCATAAATATTAACGGAGTGATAGAGAAAATAGTGACACTAATGTCGCAATCATAGTTTAATCGTAACGGAAATATGAGTAATATAAACGGATAAGTGTTAATTGAGATATACACGGAAAAAACTCGAAAACAGATCATCGTATGAAAAAATGTTAAAAAATATTCTATACATTTTGAACAATATTGTCATAGAAAAAATTATCCTTTTTAAATTACACTTACCCTCTATAAAAATGTGTTATTTAGGCTGGTATTTATAAACGGTTTCTATATTTAAGGCTATATCTTAAGCACAGTCTTAACATATAAACAAATTACAGAGCCATATTAGCATAAAACATTATTTAAGATAGTCTTAAAACAAGAACGGACTATAAACCCCGGCCTTAATCCATCTTTTCAAAGAGCATGAAAATGTCAAGCTCAGACCAATGCTGGAAGTCTCAGTTCCTTTTATAAAAAAAGCCATTCGAGGGTGTTTCCTATCAATGTAAGGGAGGGAGATTATAGAGAATTAAGAGGAGAGCTTCGCTTACCGGTGATGGAAGCGGTGGGCGAAATGGCGGACGGGTTGGCGCGCGGAGGCGGCGAAAACGCACCCGCCAGGTAACCACTGCGATCGGCGAGGGCCTGCTTCGCCTTGTCGACGCTTTCCTTGAGTCGTTGAAAGGTGCTGCCGCAGGTGAGGCCGCGGTACGGCCAGTTCTCCTGTTTAACGCCGGCCGCGGTTACACCAGCGGCGGCCGCGGCCGCGGCTCCGGCCCCGGAGGCTCCCTTTAATTCGAGCGCACCTGCGTACGAACAGCTAGCGCTGTCGTACATCACCAAAGAGCCCCTGCAATTTAAGATTGTCTTCTTGAACGCTAGAAAGAGCCATGATCAACCAGATTGTCATATTGGGACAGACTTCGATTGATTGGTATAATCCACTTTCAACTCGATAATAAGTCCTTAAACAGTACGCGAGTATAGTTTCTTTTATTTTGACATTTTTCAGGAACATACTTGTATCCGCAGGACGTAAAAAAATTTAACAATTTTATTCTTTCATTCAGCTACATATTAGGAAGAAGTCTCAATGAGAAACATCTGTATGTCGACGTTGACTCCGTTTCGTTCAATTGAGTACTTCCTGCTGAATATTAACATTGCAACTCTCAGAAATGAAGTTCACGTCGCTGTATGCATCAACTAATAGTAGCTGTCATTATAATAAGTATGACATTTTTTATTGATGTAAACTTGAAACTAGAGAAAAAATGAATTTTATTATGAATCGTAATAAATAGAAGTTTCGTTTCACGTTATTAAATTCTTTTGATTAAAATGGACATGGCTAAAATGTAATGCAGGGTCGAGTGAAGCAAGCCTACGTTACTTTAGGTTGACAGCACTTATACTCATGCAGATACCACAGTTGGGATCATTAAAGGACCCTTGAAACATCCGGTAAAGGCATGATCGAATTAAAATAGATGAGCATATTATATGTATGCGCGAATATTTCTCATTTTACAATCCCACTGAAAGACCAATGTCTTTCAGTTATTATATTCAAACCGTATCTCTTAATTTTTCTTCAAATTATTGACTTTTGTTATATTTGACTTTATATTGAAGAATTTTCCATTTAAATATTCTTTAATATTAGTCAACTAAAATTATTGTTTCTCCTAATCACTGATATCTTCTTATCATTAAAATTACTTAAACGTAATACGTCTTGGAATCTTATTCCATAAGAGATAAGATAAAGGTTTTGTCATGCAATCATTTTTTTTAAGCTTTTATCGTTGGATCATTTATGACGTACGTGTGTTCCCGGGTTAACCGGTCAAAATAACACTTAATAGGTAGGTATATACATATACGTCTACCTTCGGTTGCAGCTGGCCATGAATCAACCAAAGCTGCACACCATCAGGAAAACGTTTATTACATTAGCATTCTTATTCATCATTTTAGGTGCGATATCTGTTAGTGAAGAACAAAAGATCACGTCGAATACGCTATTAATCCACAAGAATTAATATTTCATAGACGCTAGCTTAAACTGTCTTCTTTATCTAATCGCAGATGCTATATTTCGCTTCAATTAAAAATAGGTATTTCGGTAAAAATTGGTTTATAAAATTATTTGTGCAAAATTACATAAAATTATTGGCGGACTTTAATTTACAAATGCAAATAGAAGACGCTTTCTTTACAGTTTTATTTTAATTCGTACATGATACAATGTATTTACTAAATCTTTGTATATATGTCGTGAATTATATGCGATACTTTGCATTTTGTTATCGTTTTCTTTATAACGCTTCGAAAAGAGGCACTGCAAATACTAGAAACATACATTTGGGAGATATCATGTAATAGTTAACAACGGAGCGTTTCTAATCGAAGTCGCGTAATCTAGAAAACATGCCGGGACGCCTATCATCTACATTTCATCGACGGCGCGGCCTCGAACTTATGGTCGTCAAAATTGCGAAAGCGATCCACAATCGAATTTGCATGAGACTCGTTACGATCGTATCTCTCCGCAATTCCGCAACGCCAAGAGCGCGGAGATAAGAGACTACCTACATATAATATTGAAGCTTGTCGTTTATCGCGAGTCCGCTTCCGTCTAATCTTGAAAATCTGCCACTTCCGCTATCCCTTCCCGTATTACATAAATCATTATTCAAACGAAATGATGCCGCACGATGTTACCGATCCACGTGTGATTCGCTCAAACACGTGAAACTCTTATCATAATATTTTTAAATAATTAGTCTCTAGACAGATAAAATGTGTAGCTAATGAAAATTATCATACGAGATAATATTAATATTTAAAATATGAATTATGTATCTAGATATTTTCAACTTTTCATATATGTGTTTAAACACAGATTATCGACTCGCTTTCTATTTGACCTTAGTTATTAATAGAAAGCTAAATAGCTACATTTATTTCTAAGGTTATCATTTTCTCATTAAAATTGATAAATTGATTTATATTGATTTATATTGCATAAAAAGTATTTAAAACAATCTATATTCAAACTTATTTCCGCTCTTTCGTATTCGTGATTTAAACATGATCTAGGTACATGTTGTAAAACTTTACTTAAAAAATTTTACACTAAATAGTTGATTTTGTATATTTATATTTTCCTACATTGAAAAAAAAGACTGGCTGTTGCAGTAAATTAGATGATAAAATATGGCATAGCGTTTTTAATTGGTTGCAGTAGCCAATTTTTGGTTGCAGCAATCAATTTTTGGTTGCGTTATCCTATCCGCAATGTCAGTATCTATAGGATTTCAATGAGATATCAAAATAAAAAATGTTATGCCATATTCAGCTAATCTTTTCTTTCAGTGTATACATAAAACGACATAAATTAAAGACAGGTGAATTTCTAATAGAAATATATGTTAGTAATATGGGTACATATTATAGAATTATTTGAAATGGATTCCGATCGGAATTATTAAATTATTCCTTAAACTTCTATTGTGTTTTCTAAGAAAAACGAAATAATTCCGATCGGAATCCATTCCGACATGTTCCATGATAGGTTCCTGAAATTCTTTCGATAGTGTTATCTTAATCATAAAAAGTGACTTTTTCTCTATCTATTTCGATTGTCATTTATTTACCTTCGATCACCGTGACAATTTTCGCGATGGACCTGTACACGTTTCACTGTTGCTGCGCTGATCGTTCAAACATCATTTTTCTGTGAATCATCCGCCAGAGTCCAGCAGACAAGATGCTGTCTTTTTCACTTGTTATCGCGAAGCATTCGCTGACATTCGATCGGGATGGTTAAGGATAAAAGCACTCTTGTGGGTACGTCCGGATGTCCAACGTGTATTGAGGTCAATCTAATCACAAAACTGTCACATAGTCACGCTGTTCCGCGACACGATAAGCGCGCAGCCGGATTGTCTTTGCGGTTCTGTCTGACAGTTTAAAAGCCGAATCGAGCGATCGATCGTCGGAGATACTGTAGTCTGCGGACTGCTTGGGCGGTCGCCATTTTTACGCTACTGAGAATTTATTTACTATAGTGTACTACAGTGTGCCGTTCTCAATCAATCGTTTCGGTTCTCATCTTTTTAGTTTTTACTATTGAATTTTTATACACTGAGAAAAATAGTCTGATTGGATCAAACAGTAATTCTGAAGGAAAATGGACGAATCAGAATTTTCTGATTAAATCTGCTAGAATTCTAATCGAGATAACTAGAATTCTGATTGATATAATTATTCTGGTAAAAAAAAAAAAAAATAAAAGTTCTAGTAGATTTTATCAGAAATATTGTATCAATCAAAATTCTCAACTAGAATTCTAATAAATTTAACCAGAAAATTCTGATTCGTCCATTTTCAACCAGACATTTTTTTCAGTGTAGATACTGATAAAGTTAATAAAATTCCCGCAAATATTTTGACAACGCAATAAGTGCGAGCCTTAAAATTAATTTTAATTGTAAGATATCTAATTCAAGATAATTTCTTTTTAAAATGAAAAAGTGATGACAACGTGCAAATTAAAAAAGTATTTTGCTACATCACTTCGTACCTTTCTTCTCGACGGTTCTTAATATTTTATAGTTACCAAAAGTTAAAACCAGCGTAATCTCGAGATGAACTGAATCTCCAATACCGTAGATTCAGAAACCTGTATCTCATGCCAATTATACGACGTCCATTGTCGCGTATAATTCACACTCATTATATCGAACAAAACAACTGGTTGTGCCAGCGGGCCGCGCGTTCATCATACGAGATAATTACTCTCCTCGACGCGCGCGTTGACGATTTCCCTTCGCACGCACTCGCACGCGATGGCCGCGTAGTATTGTTTTCCCTATTCGCGCTTTTTCACGACATCACTTTCCGCGGGGTTTTCGGTCAGGTGTCCGATACGGAGAAGGCTGGACCGCGATATCAAGAAGAAGGTACTCCGGGCAGGTTGTCTCGCGCAACTGTGGCCGCCGCGGGCAGCAAATTGCCTGCTTCCGGGCCTCATTACATCACTCTGTTACTCTGTTAACGCTCGCCGGAAACCCCTCTGCCTACCTCGTCTAAACTCTCGTCTCGCATATATATGTATATATATATCTACACACACATATCATTTAAACGCATCGTCGCGGACGCGACACAAACGCGCGATTGCACGCGAGAGGGAGAAAAAGCCGTCCGAGACCACCGGGAAAACGCATCCCAATGTCGTGTGAAAATCATGTCGCGACGCTTTATTTCCTGTCAAAGAAATCCTCGTCGATAAATTAAAAATCAATTCCTCAGTAGAAGATATTCCTGTTTCAAGCAAAATAAAATGCGATTCAATAAGTCTTAAAATCAAGAGAAATAAAAAATAACTATTTCTATAAAATTTACACGTAATTAAAAGAAATCGTATTTATGTGCAATAAAATTATGGTGATGTATTATATTATAATATTGAGTCAATTAATGCAAAGTAATTAATTTTTTTCTTCCTGCGTTGTAGATCTTTGAGAGCAAAAATAGGATAGAATTAAACAGAGAAATTGAATTTTATACTTTATACTACAAAATCATTTCAATCATACATATTTATACTCATACAAAAACCGGAAGCAGAATTATTTTATTTTACAAACAAAGATAAGTCCTATATAAGCTCGAATAAAATAATATTATTGAAGAATATATTTGTTTTGATAATACAATGAAATTATTTACACAAGTTTTGCGAGCATCCGAATTATATCGAAATGTGCGAAATTTTCTCATTAAGAACGTTCCAATCATAAACGACGTGCGTATATAAAATCACGTTTTTCTTCACAT